GTTGAAGACATACAAGCTTATGGCACTTCTTTTCATAAACTGTGCCTTCTGTCATTCCATGTCCCTTTGCAGTCTCTGCAGGATTTTTCACCTTCAGTTCCTCCCTTCCTGATAATAATATTGCCATTTCTGTATTTCTGGTTTTTTTTTTCTGATGCTGGCCTGCTATTTATTTATTTCTTATTAGCGTACATCTGGGTTTGTTTTTTAAAACTCATTTGAGTGTTTCCCATCTTTTGATAGAATTAAGTCCATTCACATTCACTGAAATGATGATCTATTTGATTTTATTCCTTCCATTATGTGTTTTTGCTATGTCATTTTACTTTACTGTTTCTTCTTTTGCCTTTTCCTTAGTTTTGCTGGCTTTGATAAGTTGCTATTCATTCCTTTTTTTTTTTTTGCTAATTTGGAAATTATATTGTATTCTCTTAGTGACAACTTATTAGCATCTGGTATTCACAACTAATTGTAGTTTTTGAAATTTTTATTTGAGAGGGAGGGAGGGAGGGCGGGAGAGAGAAAACAGCAGAAGCACTGGGTGAGAAAGTCCAGCTATGCAGGTATAATTCAGGTTTCTGCTTGTATCCTATTCACTAACATTCCATTGGCCAAATCCAAAGTCAAGAGGCAGGGAAGTACAGTCCGCTAACTTATGTTAGGTATGTTAGATAAGGATGTTGAACAATAATTTAATGTACTATAGTGTGTGAATTATCTGCCATTCTCATGGGAACTACTAGGAGCTTGGTGCACTTTTTCAGTAGATAAACTTGGATCTGTGTTTTGTTCAAGTAAATTTTAATATATTTCTTACTTAATTATAATTATCCTGCATCAGTTCCTTAGTTCCTCCTTGATCTCCTATTTTTGCTTGTTATGTCTCCTAAATTTATTCTCAAAGTCTCTTTTCTTGTTATTCCACCTTTTCATATTTTTGAGATATTAAGCTTTTAGATATTTTCTCCTTCACCCAGATTACTAATTCTGGGTGCAAGTCATACCCATCTTTTCCTTTAGCTCATGTACTGTATTAAAAAAATTTTGTGGTGTATAAACATACATGACTATCTCTGGACAGTTTGCCCAAGGCTATCCTGATTTTAGTACTGAAAGTCCCATGTCCCTGGAATTCCCTCAAGTGTGAAGCAATGCTGTATTTGAATCTAAGTCTTAGTTTCATTTTTTTGAAAGTTATTTGTCTCCGCTAGCAATTCTGTTTCACTAGGTACGTGTTCTGTTTGATCTTCCCCCTTCTGGATTCTGGGAATTCTTAGATATCTTATTTTTTTCTTTATCCGTTGTACTGAGAACATATGGGTCTCCCCTGTCACGCACGAGCACTGGGAGTGAATTAAGGCATAGGCTTATTGGGGGAAAGGAAAAGTTACAAGGCCAGGAGTGAAAGAGAAGAGAAGACACAGGTCCTCTACCTCCCACCACTCACTAGAGAATGTACCGGTACTGCAGTACCCTCCTGAACACTTGGATGGGTCCGTGCTCCAATAAGCATCTTTACTGCTCCCTTTTACAGATCAAGCATGAGAAAAATACCTTATCAATGAAGGGATACACAAATCACTGGGGTGCCAAGCAGTCTGAGGTTGGATGCTGTCTGTTTCAAGGAGTAATCTAGGAATTCCAGCCGCCAGCCTCTGACGCCTGCTGGGAGGCACTTCTCATGGGTGTCTCATGTTTCTGCCTATCTTGCGACCAGAGGCATTAACAGCTTTTACTTCAGGATAACTTTTCAAAGAAGTTTGTGTGGTGAGCAGTCTTAGGAGATACGGATAGAGTTTCCCTATGGAGCTAAGGACAAATTTGTTGACCAAATCATGATAACGTCTCCCTGGAGAGCACATCTTGGTGCGTTTGCCTGCAGCCACCTCTCAAACCCTGATGTTGCTTAGGCTTGGCTTCCTACTCTATGTGCAGTGCCCTTCTGGGCCTACCACTGTGTTGCCTCTACAAGACTGGAAGGGGTAGGACAAGGGAACCAATGTAAGCATGAGGGTTATGCAGCTCACTGCACTCTGAATAACAAAATCCTTTGCTTTTGACCCAGTATTCTTTTTTTAATTTATTTTTATTTTTTATTTTTTTTTTTGACAGGCAGAGTTAGAGAGAGAGAGAGAGAAAGAGAGAGAAAGGTCTTCCTTCCATTGGTTCACCCCCCAAATGGCCGCCACGCTGCGCCAATCCGAAGCCAGGAGCCAGGTGCTTCCTCCCGGTCTCCCATGCGGGTGCAGGGCCCAAGGACCTGGGCCATCCTCCACTGCCCTCCTGGGCCATAGCAGAGAGCTGGACGGGAAGAGGAGCAACTGGGACTAGAACCCGGGGTGCCAGCGCTGCAGGCGGAGGATTAGCCAAGTGAGCCATGGTGCCAGCCATTGACCCAGTATTCTTGTGTCTTTCGCCAGTATCCATGAAGCTGTGGCAGGTGAACTTGAACTTGTTAGCTGGCAAGCAGGGTAAAGTGTCAGACCCTTCACAGTTTTTGACAGAGCCCATTTGAAGTGCGCTCTCCCATTAGCGGAAGGGAGCCACTGGTCCCACAGGAAGCTGACTTCAGTGCAAAACCCATCTCCGCTCTGCTTCAGCCTCAGCTGATTTGTGCTCTGAGCAACCTTGAGTGAGGTCACTTTGGATAATTCTGCTTATTTCAGTGCAGTGCATAACAGGCAACTACAAGGCGTTTGATAATCCCTGATCTCTGTATTGAAGGACTTTCAATCTACAAAAGAGTTGTCTCCCAAGGATATATTTATAAGTATTTTCTTTAAATCATGGGGCCTGGGGAGCTGGTGTTGTGGCACAGCAGGTTAAGCCACGGCCTCTGATACCAGCATTCTATATTAGAGTGCCAGTTCAAGTCTTGGCTGCTTTGCTTCTAATCCAGTTTCCTGCTAATGTGCCCGTGAAAGCAGTGGATGATGACCCAAGTACTTGGGCTCCTGCCACCCATGTGGGAGACCCAGATGGAGTTCCTGCCTCCTGACTTCAGCCTTGCCCAGCCCCAATAGTTGTGGCCATTTGGAGTGTGAACCAGCAGATGGAAGATCTCTGTCTCTCTCTCTCTCTTTCAAATAAGCAAATAAATCTTTGAAAAAAAAATGACATGAGAAAACCTCTCTCTCTAAAAAAAATCTTAGAGCCTATTTTTTCTTATTTTTGAAAAATTTATTTGAAAGGTAGAGAGACAGAGATCTCTCACGTGCTAGTTCACTTCTCAAATGATTGCATCAGGCAGGGCTGGGTCAGGCTAAAGCCAGGAGCCTGAAACTCAATCTGAGTCTCCCATGTGGGTGGCAGGGACTGAAGTACTTGAGCCATCACCTGCAGCCTCCCACGATGTTTGTTAGCGGAAAGCTAGAATTGGAAGCAGAGTCAGGACTGGAACCAGGTGCTGTGATGTAGGATGCAGGTGTCCCAAGTGGCAACTTAACCTCTGCATCAAACGTTCACCCCTTTGTAAGTATTTTCTTACAGAAACAACCTTATAAATGGTATACTTAGCCCTCATTTTCCATAGACTAGCTCTCTAAGCTTATTATGCAGCTTCAAAGTAGTAACTAAGACAAATAATCCTGAAGCCCTTCTACTTAGATTTAAATCCTGGTGCCTCTGTTAATTAGATGTGTGACCTTTGACAAGTTATACTGTCTCAAATTCCTCACTTGAAAGTAGAATGACCAATACTAACCACTAGTAGGATTGCTTTGAGGATTAAGTGAATAATGTGTGCCTTGTAACCCACTCCTTTCCAAGCTGCTGGGATAAACGCTCAATAAATTTGACCACTATGTACAATTCAAGTAAACTTGATTATCACCCAAAGTCCTGCTCAACTACTGTATGAGTCCATTCGCAGGAAATATGTCCTAGAGGCAGAAAGCACAGTGCTGGCTGCCAGTGGCTGGGGGCAAGGGCACGGTGATGAACCAGGGCTTAACAGGTACGGGATGTCCTGTGAGATGCTCAAAATGTGTGGCACTAGACAGAGGTGGTGGCGGCACAGCCCTGGGAACTGCTGGATGCCAGGGAAAGGTACTTTAAAATGGTTGTGAGGCGAGTAACACCTGAAGTATCAGTATGACTACAAATATAGTTTTCTTAAACTTTGTTTCACATCTTTGTCCAACCAGTGGTTAAAAATGATATACTATAGTTTTAACAAACTGTGATTATTTTACAATTTATTGTATTTGAGTGAAATGGTCATATTTTCATATGATTACTGTTTGTAGTCATTGCCTATATTCCCGCTAAAATAGGGCCTTTTAATTTTGAGTTGTTGAACTCTTTATTAAAAAAAAAAGAAAATAGAAAGCTTTTATTTAGTAAATATAAATTACATAGGTGCAACTTTTGGATTATAGTGGTTCTTCCCCCCATACCCGCCCTCCCACCCCCAAACCATCCGACCTCTTACTCCCTCTCCCATCCCATTCTTCATTAACATTAATTTTTAATTATATAGAGAAGATCAACTCTATACTAAGTAAAGATTTCAACAGTTTGCACCCACACAGACACACAAAGTATAAAGTATGGTTTGAAGATTTGATGGCTCTGTCACATGGCCATGGGAACAGACTAAATGCTACTGAACCGCAACCTAAAAATGCCTGCGTGGCACACTTGGTTTCTTATGACAATCAAGAACTCTGTGAAAAGCTCATCTTGCTAAAACAGCTACTTAAACCTTGGTATTGCAATTTTATCGCTGCAAAGACACTGGAAGCTCGGGGCTGTCTGGACGAAGCTAGTAATGAGGATAACTACAGTAACAAAAGGGAACGTGAGCAAAAGCTCCTTAGTTTCCTAAGCCCTTCCCTGGTTCGATAGAAAACCCAGGGACGGAGCTTGGGTGGACGGCAAGCTTGGACCTGAAACTAAAATACCGACACAGCAGCCACAGGTGAGAGAGTGAAGTGGCGCCTCAGAGCGCCTCTAGGCAGGGCTGCTGTGTGTTTACAAGAGAGCCGGCCACGCAGGACTCAGGAAGGCGGGGGCGCTGTGCTGTTCCTCCGGGCTTTCCCTTTGCGCTGGTTTGTGCTCCTCAGCTGCGGACAGGGCTGAGCTGCCCGGGCTGCGGCTGGTGCCGCGGGCCTGCGCTGCTGCCTCAGTTGCAACCCTGGTGGCTGCAAGGTGGAGGGGAGCCGGGACTGCTGCTGGGGGAGGCTCTGCCCAGCTCCTCCCTGGGCGGGGCCACGCTGACCCGCCACGGTTGTCTGGGGCGGCACATCACCTCTGGCTTGGCCGATCCTGATGAGAAGGCCTTGCTGAGCCTCCAGAGCCCATTCCTGCTGGCCTGCGCCTGGGCCAGAGCCCTGGGGCACGGGCTGTGGGGGCTGAGCAGCCCTGGGTGGCTGAAGCTGTTGGAGAGCCACCTGACAGAGCCGGGGCGGCGGCGGCGGCTGTGGCTGCGGCCCCTGTGGCCTCTGTGGCTGCTGCTGCAAGTTCAGAATGAATGAGCCACGCGGCAGCTGCAGCTGCAGCACAGTTACAGGGCTGTTTAAAACCAGCTGAAGGCTCACCTGGGCCTGTGGCCGGGGCTCTGTGGCCTCAGGCAGGGCGCTCGGCAGCTGCCCTGTGGAGGGTGTCAGGCCACTGATGGCTGTGCCGGCCGGGGCAGCACTGACACGGCCCGGAGCAGGCACTGAGTCACTCACCACTGCCGGCACTCCGGGGGCCACGGCCCCCACGTTCATGACGTTCCTGCCGCGGGACCTGGCCAGGACCTGGGTGGCTGGGGGTCTCTGCGATGACTTGGCTGGGGTGGGGCCGGCAGGAAGAAGCGTGCTGACTGGTCGACAGGGAACTGCAGACAACTTCCTGCGAACTCTGCCCTGCACAGCAGTGGGAGTAGAAGCAAAAGTGGGATAGGCAGGGGCAGGGGCAGAGACAGGAGGAGGACCAGGGGCAGGGGCAAGGGCAAGGGCAGGAGGAGGACCAGGGGCAGGGGCAAGGGCAAGGGCAGGAGGAGGACCCGGGGCAGGGGCAGGAGGAGGAGGGGCAGGGGCAAGGACAAGGGCAGGGGCAGGGGCAAGGGCAGGAGGATGACCAGGGGCAGGGGCAAGGGCAAGGGCAGGAGGAGGGGCAGGGGCAAGGGCAAGGGCAGGGGCAGGGGCAGGAGGATGACCAG